ATGGAAGAGATTCTTACTTCAACATGATGGCTGACTAACAGTGACTCTCAGGTACTGGCTGGTGGTAAGGAGTTTCCAGAGAGACATTTTTCTGTATCTTCTATGCTCACCACATGGCTTCCTGACAACATTTATGGATGTGATGTAGATAAGTGTTTGGTGTGTATGAGTGCAGGCACATAGGTGCATGGGTGTGCATACATTTGACAGTATATGGGAGATATCTCTGTGTGTGTCTAAGTATCATTTGGGAACTGAGTGTTAGGTTATTAGTAAGCATGTATGTGTGTGTGTAACGAGAGGGGGGAGAGAGAGAGAGAGAGAGAGAACGGATGTTCATGTATATAAGGTCTGTAAAGTTTTGATCCCAGGCAACATTGGTCACTGCACTGCCCCCCTCCCACCCAGTCTCCTAAACTCCCCATTCCCAGGGGTTTCCATATGTCCCCTGACACTTCTGAGGTGACTCCTTATGTGACCTCTTCCAGAGACACTTGCAGGCCAAGCATGCTCCTTCCTAAGTGCTACCATTAAAGGCATTTGGGGCATCTGGGAATGGGAGAGGTCCTCAGAGTCTCCACCTGAAGCTTGTGAGCTGACTACCAAAATCCACTCTTCCCTTTTCCTGAGCTCGCGCCAAACTGCATTCCCCAGGCTCCCTTGTGGTTAGGGCTGTCCAAACGCTAACCTCTGGGAAATGAAATGTGGTGGCAGTAATGTGTGGGACCTCAGGGCCAGGCCTTAAAAGAGAGGGAGCGCCTGCCCTTCTCTTCCTTTCTGCGGGCTGGGCCCTGGGTGTGGTGATCACAAGGCCAAAGGGGTGGTCAAGAGCTGGTGCCTGAGTCTCCAGGTGGAGAAAGCATCTTGATTAACCCAGCATACTGCCCTGGACTCTTGGAGAGCCAGAAGTCAAATTCTATTGGGCCTGAGCCTTGAATGTGGTTGCAACCATTTGCAACAGTAATTAGTTTCTTCTGACTAATGCAGCCACCTTTGGATGAGATGAGGTGAATCTGAGGAGTTTGTTACTGCTATGTGTAGGTGTGTGACTGATAACAGCAGATGAATGTGTATTTGTGTAAGAGGAATAATTTGGTGTTGGTGACTGCATGAGAACTGCAATTCTTGCTTCCCTGAAGTTGTCAGAGGACGCCACCTCTTTAATCTCCAGCCACCGTCCTCCTCACAGCCGCAGCTTTTTAGGTGCTCTTCCCTCCCCTGCCTCCATCGATGATGCACACAGCTGCCTGCTGGGCCCCAACACTAATTTGGAGGAACCACGTCAAGCTTCCCCACTGAACTTCCCTGGCTCTGCACCCTCATTACTGACTCTTCACAGAACTACTGGCCTGTGCCAACCTCTCCGGACAGATGCAAGATCTCAGGCCTCAGAAAAAGGCCTCATTAAACCGAGGTGAGTGGTCTTGGCTCCTCAGGCTCTCCCTTTTCCTGCAAACCCCAAAGGGGCCTGTTTGCTTCCCTGCACAAACTGCAAGGAGTAGTGGAGATGTGGCTATATCTATATTGCATAGAATTTACTGACTACTAACCATGTGCTGAGCACTTGACAGGCAGGTCTCTGCTTCTGCATTCTGAGAGTCAGGAATAATTATCCCCACATTACAGATGAAGAAACTGAGGCTCAGGCAGATGGGTCACCTGCTCAAGTGCACACAGCTGGAAAGTGGCTGAGCCAGTGTTGTAAGCCAGGTCTGCCAAGCCACTGAGCTTGGTCTTCCCTATACTGTAGTACCTTGAGCTGAATTGAGCAGAATCAGAGCAGGAGAAGTCTTAGAGTTAGACTCACTGTTTGATAGCTATTAAAAATATTTATCTTACTACAATAACAGCTAACATTTATTGAACTCTTACTACATATTGATAGATGTCAAACAGTTTTGAGTAAGCTACGTGTGTCAACTAATGTAATCCTCATAGTAAGTCTATGAGGGAGGTACTATTATTATCTCCATTTTACAGATGAAAAAAAATTCAGGCTCAGGGAGGTTAAGTAACTTGCCCAAGGTCTCACAGAGAGATGTTTGTGTAGGCAAGATCTGAACCCAGCACTCTCACACTACCTCAACCAATGCTCACGATAACCCTGGGAAGTACCTTTCTTAATTATGCTCCCCAATTTAGAGAAAGTGATTAACTTGATTGCCCTGAAGTCACATGGCTAAATTAGAGGTGCAGATGGGACTCCAGTGAGTGATAAGGGTTGTCTTGCTACTTCTGAATGCTCATGGGAGGTTGGAAGGAAGAAAGGAAGCCACATGGATATCTGTGGGCAGTTTCTCTGCAGAGGACGCTGCCAATGCATGGGCACTGAGGCAGGAAGAGTGAGGAGGCTGCTGGAGCTGGAACAGAGTGATGGGAAGGGAGAATGGTAGGAAATTAGGTCACCAAGGGAGTAGCCAGGAGCCAGGTTCCGGAGGGCTTACAAATATGTTCAGTCTTATGTTCCAACTCCAAGGGTTTGCTGGATGACCATGTTGAGAGGGATTTTGAGGCTGTGTTCAAATTCAGGGGACCACAGTGCTGTGTATGGAAGAGCATGTGTCTCATATTTGTTGTTTCTGATCCAGGGACCAGAGAACAGTTACAATGACTGGAATTACCAGTACAAGAAGTAGAACCACCTCTTCTGGTGTCTAGTGCGGGATGCTAGCCTTCCCTAAACTCATGGCCCGAGAGGTGACAGGCGAAGGCCCGTCACTGCTCCTTACACAGGGACTGACATGGAGCTGGAGTGATTCTGTGAGGGCTCCAAGGATCAGGAGCCTCCTGCCAACTTCTGAGAAGGCCCCCGGGTCACTGCCCCACTGCCTTCACCCTTCCTGAGAACACGTGGAGACCCGGGTGTCCTGAGGCTCTCTGTCTGATTGTCAGTGGCTTTGCCCTGTCAGCAAGTGGAGGAGCCACATTCAACTCGATCGAGATTCTGAGGCAGAACGCCTAACACCCGTCCCCAGAGACCCAGGTCAGCATCTGGCTGATCAGCTCCGCTTGAGGATTTGTTGTAGAAAGGGGTGGGTGACGCTGAACCAAAGGAGGAAAATCTCTGATCATGAAATTCTAGGCCTCTGGGATGTGTGGCTAGCAAATGTGAGAGAGCCAGAAACTGGGAGTCTCGGGCTGTGCCTGGATCCTGGCTGGGCCAGCAGGAAGATGTCGTGGCTTCAACACCTACAGCAGGACATGTTTTCTGCCCCGTGTGACTCCAGAAGTCTTGTTCAAAAGACACATGGTGACAGTGTTAGTTAAGCTCTGGCTCAGTGATTGTAGAGCTGACTGGAAATTAGGCCAAAGTGAGCCAAGCCCCAGCAGGCTGCCTTTGCACTCATCTCCCACCTGATGAGAGGTGAGGATGTGACCTCCCTGCGCACTGCCTTTGCTCCCTGACTCAGGAGGCATGGCAGGTCTGGCTGCCCGGCAAGGGTTTGGGGAATCGCCAGCCCCTGTGTGCGGCAGAAACAACAGTGTCAGGGAGGGAGTTGCACCCTGCTCCTCATGGAGAGGATGAAGCCAGGGGTCAGAGCCTGAGTGCTCATACTGGGCCAACAGGGCTCAAAGCCCAGAGCTGTCACTTACTGGCTGTGTGACCTTGGACAAGCCACTTAACCTTCCCGTGAAAGAAAGAGAGGATAGGCCTCCCTCACAGAATTGCTGTGAGGACTACATGAGCTGGTGTCTGTGAGTAGAACCATGACGGGTCCATATTGAGTGCTCAGGGTGTGCTCTGGCTGTAAGCACTCCGCTTGCTTCCATGGACATGCCAGGCCCAGTTTCACGTAGTCATTGGTGGCCCAGAATCCCCACTCACATCAGGCTGCAGTGACAGCTGCTGCTTCCTCCAGCCGGCCCCAACTCTGCCCCATGGGGACACCCAGAACAAGGTGTTTCTTTCTTTAACACATGTCAGTGCTTCCCAAATTGTGCGGCAGCTCTCTCAACCCACAGTGAGTCTTCGATTCTCCAGAATTAACATTTGCATTCCTCCTGACAATTTCCCAGGACACGGTTTCCAGCTTGCATCCCGGCTGCTCCCCGCTGCTCCCTGCTGATCACATAGCAGTTGTCTTTGACCCTCCTTTCTGGAGAAGTCTGAGCACAGAGAACTGAATCAGACCCCACATTCCCTCAAACAGATATCACACTTCCGGTGATGTCCACGGGAAGCTGTGTCCCATCGGTGGCTTTCGCTGAGCAGGCTGTCAGTGGGTGTGCCCTGTGATGTCCCTAGGGTTGCTCTTAAGCCATTTTGCACCCACTCTATTCCCCTTGAGTGGCATTTCTACCACTACAGGCTGAGAGACTCAGGCGAGCTCCTCAGTCCATGGCAGCATACCCCCTACCCCCCACCTCCCTATCTTTCTCTTTCTCTGTCTCTCCTGATCCAAGTCTCTATGAATGTGGAACTTATCTCTGTATTTAACTGCCTTTAGCTCCCAGGCCCCAAGAACTGGGTCAGCATGTCTCAGAGGAAAAGGTGTGGGCTTTGCAATCAAACAGAAATTCTCTTGGAAAGCTGGTTCTGCCCCCAACCGACTGTGTGACTCTGGATCATTTCTCGTCTCTCTGAACCCCAATTTGCTCATGTGTGAAGTGAGGACAGCACACTCCTGTGCTGAGTGTGAGAAATTAAGTACAACGGGGATGTGGCAGCCCTGGCTGCTCCCCTCCCAGAGCCATTTGGTGCCCCAATGACCGTGACGATGATGAAGATTGTTGCCATTTCTTTCCCTTGAGGAGCTGAGAAAAGCTTGCTCAAAAACAATTCATCACTTACAGAAGAAAATGCAGAAGGTGTCAGACCAATTCCACATTGTGGTAAACACAGGAGTATGTAGAACAAAAATCCTCTACCAGAACACACAGACCCCAAGTCAGTGCTGCCCAACGATGAACTTGATCAGGCAATTCCCTCCCGCTGGCAGTCTGCACCACCCAGAAGCAAAATCATCCACAGCACCAACCTCCTTAAAATTGCTATCATAGAGCTCTCCCCAGCTCTACGTATACTAAAATTAGAATGATACAGAGAAGATTTGCATGGCCTTGCCCATGGATGACACCCAAACTCAAGATGCATTCCATATTGTGTAATGCTACATTCTGATGCATGCTCTGACATGGAGGAGACTCAAGAACATTATGCTAAATGAAATAAGGCAGACACAAAAGGACAAACACTGTGTTTCTGCTTATAGAGGCATCTAGAGTGGTCATATTCATAGAGACAGAAAGTAGAAGGGGGCCAGGAGAGTGGGGGTGGCAGCTAGTATTTAATGGGTGCAGAGTTCCAGTCTGGGATGATGAAAAAGTCACGGAGATGGATGGTGGTGGTGGCGCATAGCAACGTGACCGTACTTAATGCCACTGAACTACACACTTAAAAATGGTTAAAATAGCAATTTTTATGTTGTGTATACTTTAGCACAATTTTAACAATGGCAAGAAAATGTTATCACAAAGCAAATTCTGCCAGGTGGGCAGGAAAAGCAGAGGTTGTTGGAAACATATTCATCACTTCGATATGACTGATGCGCATGTGGGTGGAAGTCACCATCGGCAGGAGCTTCTCGGTTCTGTTGCCCACAGGCTTGGTTGGCCTCGTCAGATTTAGGATGGTAGGCAGCATTTGGGGAAGGACCTGGGTGGGGTAGGGGGGCCCCTGGCCGTATCCTTGTCTCAATGGGTGAAGAACAGGGCAGCTCCAGACCAGGACTTGGCATGAGTCAAATACAAGGGCTAAGAGGTTGCGGAAAGTAAAGCATGGTGGTTCACAGCATCCACGGTGGGGTCTGCTGGGCCTGGGTTCAAATGCCGCTCTCTGCTAATGACTAGCTGTGTGGCCTGAGACAGACTATTAACTCTCTCTGCCTTAGTTAAATAAAAAGTCTAGTACATACTTTGTAGGACTATTGTCAGGATTATGAGATAATGGGTGTTAAACACTTGCCATGATGTTTGGCAACAGATAAGTGAACTGTAAACACTAGGTTTTGTTTCAATGACAATGGTAGAGTCAATGAGGACCCTTTAGAAGAAACCAAGATGAAATGAAGTCATTTCATGGATGAGTTTTGGGGACCTGCCTTTTTCCCCAGTTATAAGCCCCTCCCTCTGTCAAGTGAGAAGTTCTTTGAAGAAATGAATGGTATCAAGCCCCAGGGTTGAATTCGGGCCATGGAGAAAAAAGCTGACTAACTGTGCAATGCAGGTAGGTCATTTCATATCTCTGAGCCTCATTCAGTTTTCTTGCTTGCACGAGGGTTAATAAAATTGATAATATGGCATTACTGTGGAAATTAAATACAGTATTTTTTTCAGTACTGAGTACAGTACTTGGAATATATTTATGCAATAAAAAGCAGCCATGATGATGTTTGATTTGGTGTGTGAAGATCAGGTTCAAATCTGGACCCATCATTCTGCTAGTTGAGCAATTTTGAACAAGGAGATATTACTCCTCTGAATCCCAGCTTTCTCATCTGTCAAATGGTAGTGATAATACTGCTACTCAGTCCATAGAATTGTTGAGAAAACCTGCACAGATGTGTCTCCTGGTATTTTTTAAATAATGGGGACCCTCAACACCCACGCTTGAATGAGTGACCAAGACACTGACTGGCGCTTCGTTGAGGGCTCCTCCGCACTGCGTGCCTGGAGGCTGGACCTGCGATGGAGGGCCTGCCGAATACCTGCTGTGCCGGCTGCAGTGTCATTTTGCCCTCTGCTTCAACCCTCGGAGAGAAGCCTTTCCAGCCAGTGGTCAGGAGGTGCCTGCTCAGCACTTCTCTGGGCTGTGTTTCTGCTGATCCTCCCTGGACACCAAGGCATCTCCAAGCAGGCCGGCCAGGAAAGGATTTATCAGGGGTGGGAAGAGAAATGACCTCTGGTGTGAGACCTCAGGTGAGTAGTGGGGAGGCTGCTCTGTCCAGCCAAGTGAGAGGCCCTGATGTAATCCCAACCCTGGAGCCAGGGGGAGGTGGGATGGGGGAGCAGAACTGTCCCCACCCATCAAATACTCTCAGGTCCAATCTGAATGGACAAGGCTCGAAGGCCGGCTCTGTCTTGGACTTGCTGTGTGATCTTGGGCAAATCACTTTCTTTCTCTATGCTTCTATGTCCAATTCTGACATTCGAGAATTCCACAAAAACATCACTAGAAGAGGGGTGACAGGAGCAAGAGGATTGCAGGAGCAAGGAAGGCAGGACACAACCATCGAAGGATCCCCAACACTGAGAGCACACAGAATTTGGCACCAGAGTTGGACTCTGGGCTCATATCCTGACTCATAACTTTATTGGGTACATGATCTTACTCCTGTAACTTAACTTCCCAGAGCTTCAGTCTTGTTTGTAAAAGCAGTTTGCAAACCTAAGTTTTAGAATCATGGGAGGATTAGAAATAATGTATGTAAAGCACTTGTATACAATATATACCCTATAAATCATATATGTACAGCAGGTCATTGAATAATGTCATTTCATTTAAGGTTGTTTTGTTCTAATGTTCATGAGATGCTGTAGGAATTTAACCCTTTAATCTATGGTAAAATTGGTTTTGTTACATATCATTTTACTTAAGTTGCAGAACCTATTGACAATGTTAAGTGAGAGCTTAATGTATGCAGTGAATGTTTGCCTACTTTATCATCTGTCATTTACCTATCGTCTGCTATCTATCTGTCTATCATCTACCCATCATTACTGTCATCTTTTTTGTAGAGAACATTAACACCACCCAAAGTCTCCCTCCCCCCATCTCCTGGCAGGATCTCTCGCAGTGGCAGGTGAGCTAGCTACCGGAGAGCACTGGTAGGTCGCCCTGGGGTTTAGGGTCTCTGATGTGAGCTGGAAGATGAGCCTCACTATGGGATTTACTCATTAGCCAGGGGCTTGCAAGTGAGGCTGGCCTGGCTTGGACGTGCACTGTCCTGGTTTTAACTGGGAATAACTAAAAACAGCAGTTTTACTCTCTTTCCCCTTCCCAGCTCCTCTCCAAGCCTGGGGTCAGTCCATTCCTGTGGGGACAATCAGCACAGAATGAAGCCACTAAATGCACTTCAGTGTCTCTGGAGGATGACCATTTGGGCCTGTGGTCTTAGTGGTAAAGTAATCATATGAGTAAATCATGTGTGCGTAAATTACAGACTTTCTTGCATCTGTAATATTTGGGGAGTCTCTCCAGCCCCATTTGTTTGGGAACATGGATCTGAGGTCTGGGAAATGCCTGTTGTCCTGCTGTTCCTGGTCCAACTGGGGAGAGGCTATGCTGGGCTTACAGGGAGCAAGACTGATGAGGATAGCTCCTCTCCCTCTCCCACATGCAGGTGGGTGGCAGGTGAAGCCCAGCAGGAGAGCTGAGTGCTCAGTGCCCGGTGTGTGAGTACGAGTACACTGTGTGCCAGAGTATGAATGTGTGTATATTGGCCAGTGTGAGTGCAACTGTATGCATTGGCTGGTGTGTATGTCCATTGGCTACTGTGTGTGTGTGTGAGAGAGTGTGAGTGTGTGCTATTGGCCAGTGTGAAAGCAACCTTGGTGTGTGAGCAGAGCCAAGAGGAGGGTATTGGCTGGAGGCTGTGAGTAGATGTGAGCATTGAGATGAGGTGAGCATTTGAATGAGAAGATGCCTTGGAGAAAATGTCCTTTCAGGGGCCTACAAGCCTCCTGTGATCTGGCCCCACCACCCCTCTGCCCCATCTCCTAGACTCTGGCCTTCACGCTCTCTGTTGCAGCCACGCTGGCTCCTTGTTGCTCCTCAGATGCGCTCCAGCCTTGGGGCCTTGCCTAGACTGTTTCCTCTGTCTGGAATGCTCTGCCTGGCTCACCTCCTTCAAGTCTTTGTCAAATCTCCTCTTCTACCCAGCCCTCCCAGCCCCTCTGTGTAATACTGTCATTTCCCATCACCCCAAAGCCCCTGATCCTACTCTGCTGTTTCTTTTTGCAGAGCATGTATTACCCCCCGACACCTATATAATTTACTCATTTATCCTGCCTGTTGCCAGTTTCCCCATGAGGACGAGGATCTCCAAGTTGTTTTGTTCACTGATGTATCCCAAGCACCCAAAATGGTAGCATTTATTTTATGGCATATTTGCCTCTTGTTTCTCATTTGTAACATAGAGATGCTAATAGAATCTATCCACTTCACAGAGTTGTTGGGCAGATTAAATGACTGAATATACCTGAGAGCACCAAGAACAGTGCTTGGCACATAGTTCAATAAGTGTTAGATATTATTACTACCCTCCATCACAACTTAGAAGTGAGGATTAAATGAGTGATCCCTGTGAAGGCTCCAGCTCTCTGGTGGTCAGAAAGGGTGGAGGTGCTTCATAAACACTTCTTACCTCACTCCCACCCTGGCCCTTAAAAATCCCAGGAAGGAAGATTCCCTAACCTTCCCCAGCCATGGAACCCATATTTTTGGATGCCCTTTGAGATAGAAAAATTGGTAATTAGGATATTTATTCACCTTTTTTTGCCTTCCCCACCCAGGGCTATACAGCTTCCTGGTCATATAGGTACTTAATGGAATGTGATCTAGACCACCAAGCATGTTCTCTGATAGGTGTGATTGCATCTTGGACTGCACAGGACCCAAACTCCAGCCTAGAATTCTGGAGCCTGGTTCTTCTCCCAGCTCTGCTGTTCCCAAAAGGCTGTATGACCCAGCCCAGGTCCTGCCCCCTGCCTGAGTCTCTGCTCTTCCCTGGTGAAGGGTTGGGATTAGTCCATTGCTAAGGTCTCCCCAGGCTCATCCATTCATCTAAGAAATTTTCATGGAGACTTTATTATGTGCCGGGGCTGCTCTAGACACTGAGCTATATACAGCAGTGACCATGAGACACAAGTCCTTGCCTTGTGAGTTGACCTTGGTGGGGACAAGGTAGACAGTAAATGATAACCACAATAAGAAAATTATTTAGTGTGTTAGAAAGTGGAGCATGCTATGGAAAAAAGAAGCAGCATCACAGGTTAAGAGAAGGTGAAAGTGTTAGGCGGTAGGGAGGGCAGGCTTAGCTCCAAGTAGTGTGGTTGGGGGTAACCTATTTAAAAGGGTGACATTTGAGGTGAGGGGCATCCTACAT